CAATCTACCATAACGCAAAAACGATGTAGTGAATACTGTTCTTTCTTCTATGCCGCGTTTTCAAATATGTAATATTTATGACGATGAGTTCCCTATTTGGATAGTATTACTTTTTACGAAGTTGCACTGGAATAATGGTCATCTATATCGCTTCAATTATAAGATTACATTCAGTAATCAAAACTCAGTATAACATTTCTCACCAACGATGCAGGCAAGTCGCACGAAATTGTGACCACGAATGTGATTTACTTGCAATGTGTGTGTTGCGTGCAATCTTGAGTATCTTGGTTTAAGTGAATAAACTCCTTAAGGACGACAGAAATAGCGAGGGCAGCGCGCGGCATACGGTATCGCTCGAAACGTCCGATTCCTCCGGGATGCTCTAAATCGAGCATCGGACAACGAGAAATTACTAACGAGAGAGAAAGAGAAAAAGAGAGAAAGAGAGATGGTCTCCCGTTCCCTCGCGTCAAGGATCTTTCCGTTATCTACAGGATGTGAATTTAAATGACGTTTATATAACCCGTGATTCTCATTGCGCGCGGCTTCACACACTGAGAAAAAAATGTCTGATATTTATAGTCACATAGAGAAATAATTACTATAAATTCTGGTCAAGAGGAAGATTTTCTAAATTGAATTCTGCGTGAGGGGGACTATGATGTTAATGATAATAACCTTATGTGTACGTTACTGCTACCATTTGCGTGTTAAATCGACCAGAAAATATGATTGGGGTCCAAAATAAATTTAGTTAAATCGACCATTTTTCCTCTCAGTGCACGTTTTTCGAGATGGGACACACGCGGCTATATTTGTACTGTAAACCGCGTGTCCGCGCGCGCACACACAACACGCGCACACATACAACCATCACGTTCCGTGGCCGAGGCACGGCTGAAAAAATTTCGCTAACGACGCGCGCGCCGATAATGGGCGCTCACGCTGACGCACCGTGTACGTTTCTGTTCTCATTGTTGCAACAACGGCTTTCAACCGGACAAAGATCGCCGATGTGTCGCGACGCGACGCGTCGCGTAGCGTTTGAGCCAGAGGTTGGCTCACAACGGAAGACCGGAGGGTTAAAAATAGAGGTCTAAGTAAGGACATCTTGACTAGTTACACCCTTTCATCGTATTCCGCGGCTCCTCCGTCCTGTGCTGGCTATATTTTTTTCCCCTATTCGATAATCGCACGCGGCGGCATATATATATATATATATATATATATATATATATATATATATACACATTAGAAGAAAAAATATCGAAGAAATAAAAAACATTTATTCGGTGGGTAGCGCATATATGTGCTTGTACATAAATGTAAAATATTTCTCGAACGAAATGTGCACTTTTTTGAAGCCTCAGCTTATGAAATTTTTTCATTCGTTTTTGTTCTGTTTGAGATTAAAAGAATTTAAATTTACTCTCTAAATCTCTTGCAGTGAAATTTCGCTTGAGAAGCAAAGTGTTTGCGCACGAATTCGATATATTTCATTCATATAGAGCGAATTCTCCACTTTGAATCATCGAATGAATATCTTCACTCGAATCAACTGAAACATCGCTCAAATGGAGTGAGAGTCTAAGCTTGAGTGAAACGTTCGCACTCTTGCGATTTCGAGTGATATTTTCGCCATTGTTTCGAATAAAAATACTGCCACTCTTCACACATTTTGGTTGAAGTGAATAAACTCCTAAGGACGATAGAAATAGCGAGGGCAGCGCGCGACATACGGTATCGCTCGAAACGTCCGATTTCTCTGGAAAAAGTGACAGTATTTTCATTTCAGTATATATATATATATATATATATATATATATATATATATATATATATATATATAT